AACCCGATAGTAATGATCACAGTCGACCACCATTTCCCTTGTTTCCCAGAGTGAGCTGGTTAATCTATCTGCCGCAGGGCAACTTGAGTGGACTTCTACGCTCTTCATGATGCAGCTTTGATAGGGGAAAAAGTCAAATATAGTACCACAACAATCTATGGTCCCGGGCTTTGTCAAGACCGCTCCTCTACACCTCCAGCGGGACGAGTGCTTCTTATGAAAGAGTGGTCTGCTGATGAGTGTTTTTCAGTTTTTTGCTCAATTGGCGTATGAATTACTCCACTTTTCGAAACGATTTCTCACAATGGAGTCACATTTGATTAGCCTAGAGGTCCCCGTGGGCGGAAATCTCTTTGATGGTGAAATAATGGCTTCCGCCGTCACTTCCGAATATTGCTCAAGGCGTAATAAAATTTTCTGATTAAAGGGTTCCTAGAGCCGTAAAGTTGGAGCCGTAAAGTTGGTTGCGTTCGTAGGCAGGAAATTTGGTTCGATACTTGTCTCCACTTCCCGTCCCAGAATAACAGACTCCCTATGCTTTCCCACCAACATTACAATTGGCCATTTAGGGGCAATAATTATGCACATTCTGTTTCCAACAATCCCCTGCATGGTCCCGACTGGGAACAAGTATTTCTTGGCAAGTATAGAACAAAAGGCTTCAGCCTTGGTAGGTGTCCGTAGAGGCTAAAAAAAGATGGAAGGATAAACTCCCTGCAGTTCATCAATCCTTTTTTGGATGAGGGCCGCATTCTACTTCCATTAAGAATCGGTAGCCTGTTAAACGCGATGTGGCCTATACAATAACAAATGGGGGGGGGCAGCCGATGTACAAGTCAGTAAGGGAGAAGGCCTAGTTGGCCCCGCCGGGAGCCGATCCACGACTCGGAAACAAGGCCGCGTGCGTGGTAAACATGCCGCTTGTCAGTACACCATCTCCGCCCCAGTACAGGCTTACAGCTGGCCATTCAATAGTTCACTTGGTTGGGGGGTCCACGACGAAAAATAGGGGCTGATTGCAGCGGGATGGACAAAAAAAAACGAAGCAGAGCCGCCTGGGACTTCCGTTTGGCGCTAATAAGTTTGCTAGGAGCACTTGAAGATTTGTTTGGGCGAGATTCTTTGAATTTGAAAGACGTAAAGAATAGCGGCTGAGGGATGCATGAGCTCGAAACCCATTCAACGGCCTCTGGCACACAAATACATGGCTCATCCCCAGGTACCAGAAAGGTCTACGTGGATGGCTCAGTTTTTTTTAGCGGAGGCTTCAGAATGTATCAAAAAGTGTGAGAGGCTCTTTAGCTGTATAGTAGGACCACGTGATAAAGAAGGGCAGCTGCTAGCGGCTACTGGAACCCCTTATGCCGAAAATATCCTAAAATATACCCAAAGCCCATTACGGGCTAATAACGAATTACGCTGTTTGAGGAACGGATATTATACCGAAAAAGGCTTCATGTAAATATCAAAGGGGTTTGACGTGACGAGCATGGCGTGAGATGCGTTTTTCGTAAGATTCCATTGTCAAACAATTTTCACCCTGTTCCTCCCCCTTCCCCCCTTCCCCTCCCAAAGCGCAGCCGCCATTACGTCCGAATGAAGGAGTCGGTCACGCCTTTCCCATTTCCGGAGTGTATCTGACATCTGGTATGACGACATCTCTGCTAAAAAAACTCATTGCTCTGTTCGCTTGAACGGGGCGTTTTGCACTTCCAAGATTTCTTTTTGTTGGTTCGTGTTGAGTAACAGGTCTCACTTTGACAAGACCTGTAAACTCCTGCAAAGCCTGCGATTGTGTTTGACGGGGCCACTTGGCCACAAAAACTGACAAGGTTTCACAAGATGGTCTGTTACTACAAATAAACTGTTACTACATTCGACGCCCCTCCTCCCCCCTCCCTCCCCCCCCCACCAGATCAGAAACTCACCGCAGACCTCATGCTACTGCCACAAGTTTTTTCAATTCGCTCACATGTAGAATACAAAGGTTCTCCAATACTGACAAGACACTGCGAGCGCTGTTTCAGACAAGTCTGCTTCGCACGTGAAGGTGTTACAACAATAAGGCGCCAGAAGCAGCACCTTTCACCTTTCGTAGTATGAAAGATGGAGTATCGAGAACCGAAGAGGGAAAAAAAAAATGGGGTATTGATGGGGTACTCAACAGAAAGTTTATCTGCTAAAGGCTGTCTTTAATACCCCTTTTTAATTCTTTTTCTATTCTGATGGGAGCAAATATTTGGCGAGGACCCCTGCCACCTCTCACTTACTTATCTACAGTATGTGACTTCATGGAAGACGCAGAGAGTCAGTGGAAAGTTGACACGCGCACGTAACGCCGCCGCGACGCGTCCGCGTGCAGACGAAGCATGTGGGACTGTGGCTTTGGCTGGGGCCTTGTACTACTACAATCACTGCTGTGAAATGCAGTGAAGGCATAGTTTCAGGCTTCATACAAAAGTGAAACTTAAATGGGATTTAGGGCGCAGTAGGGCTCGGAGGGGGCGGAGGTGGGACATTTTGCACTTCGCACTATCCTACTGATTGCTTTACGAGATTTGACAAGTATTCTTCACGGAAATTGACAAATAGTCGCTGCAAACTTCGACTGATATCACTCCATGGTTTCACAACATTTCACAGATCTCTACTTGGTCGCTCAACACGGCAATGGGAAGCAACGAAAATGCAAATTGCCCCTTTGCCACTTTCAAGCTGAACAGCGCCGAACTTTATAAAGTTTCACAAAAGTTACCAGTTAGAAAAAGTTGCGCTATCTTTCTAGGAGGGGCATTCTGCGATAAGCAAGTAGGCGGGGACTTGTGACTATAGTGCCTTCCTTATTGGTGCGCAGGAAAGCGCGGTGCCTGCGAGTCTCCGCCCATTTCTCCGCCCTTTTGGTTATCGCGGACTGAGTCAGTAAGGTACACTTCGACGAACTGAAGCAAAAGCAAAAGAAATGCCGAAATTGGCGAAGAAATAATGAAGTACTGTACTCACCAGTTGTGCTTCTTTTATGTACCGGTGTAGCGAATTCGGGCGACGTGACACTTTTCTTTGGCGACTTGGCATCGTAGACTCGTTGTGCTGACGATATAGCCGTCATGTGTGTAAGATCGCGTGGCGTCGACGAACCAAAGGCCCAGTTTCGAGGCTCTGTCGACCCTGAAAAAGCATTTCCACGCTAAGTGAATCGACGAAGGAAGAACTTCATGGATAATTAAACTATTCAAATCACAAAAGCCCATTTGGACCGAGAGACGGGAAGACAATCCTAAATTGCCACGCCATCTCGCGCGGCGTCTCGCGCGCCGGTGGCGGCAAACCCTCGGTGAGCACCATCTTGTCGATTAGAATAGCGGAACTTATGTACACTCAAGCGGAGGCGAGGTTCTCTTCTCAGTAAAATGGATATTTCTCTTTCCTTTGACATTCCGATTCAAACGGTCGGCCAGGAAAACTCGTCCCTCGTGTGCGCGGCGTCGCTCGCCACGCCTAGCGCGGCATATTGCGATTGTCTTGTCACATACGCCTCTGTTCCGGTGCGTTGTCACATTATCTCACCAGCGTGGGAGCCAAACATGGTGACCGAAGGCAGTTCTCCCTCTCCTCTCCCCCCTCCCCGAAAGCGTGCTGAGAAGTTTTTACTGTTGAATATTTTCTTTTCAACCTTCGAATTTAATGCATGGTCAATGCCAAGAACGACAATCCCTGGAAGGAATCCCGAAACTTAAAGTGCCAAGACAGTCATGGACGAACAACTAATGCTAAATCCCCCGAGGATGCCAGTTGACGAGTTTTAATCCCTCTGTCTCCGGGAACGGCTAGTGCAAAACGATTTGTCCCTCTGTAGGGTTGTTTCTTCAGACGCTTATATTTGTTCGCCGCGTTGAGAACATGCCTCTTGAGACCGATGAGCCTCGGGGCAAAAACTACCTGTTCGGCGCAGCAGCAGCAGCAGTGGTTGACAGCCCAGTGCGAGTTCTTGTTGCCGTTAATGGCTGGCTGCGCCTTCCACACAGCCCACATGCTAACTTGCCGACTTCAAAATGGTATTACATATGAAAAAACGGACAAATGCTCCTTTGTACAAAGACGCGAAGACATATGACTGCATAGGAAGTTTGTGGTATTTTTTGCATAAATTGGCTGCTGGTTAGGCAAGGGGGGGAAGCATTTTGCTGCTTCGCCTTACACTCTGTGAATCGTTACTGGTCCTTGTTGATACTTACCATCAAATAAACATGGCATAAGGCTTTTGGCGAAACCTGTAAAACTCTTGTATGGGAAATGGTGTTTCAGTAGTTCACAGGTCTTAAAAGGAGACCTGTTTAATGTCACTTGGGTATTATTCCGTGCCCCCACCGAACCGAACTTCGTGCGAATCCTAGCGAAACCTATTGGTCGCTGCGGGAGGGGGATATCGGTGTTTGACGTCAGGAAAATTTTTCTTGCATTGTCGATTTTTGGTTCCCGTTTTCACGCAGGCTGAACCGCGCTCGCCCTTTCCTGTGATTTGAGCTTATGCTTGCCTAATATGCAGCTTCTTCTTTGCAGCGGTCAGAACCTTGGTTATAATGATGGGGTTAACTCGTTAAAGAGTTGATCTCCGCAGAACTTTCTCTGACGGAAGGCTGAGAGGAGGGAAAGGGGGTTTGCACTGGCACTGCCATTCCACACATTTCGGTGGCCTCCCTGATTTATTCCACACGATGTTACAATGCTTATCGGAGCGCCAGGTAAACCCCTAAACCCTAAACCAAAAAAACCTAAACCTACTGGCGCCGCGCGAGTCCATTTTTATCAATGGCTGCTCGCGCATAGTGGCACTGCATAGTGGAAAGGGGTTGGAGTCGCCCTAAAAGTTACTTGCGCAGTAATGCCCCCACCTGACGCTCTGTAACAGGCACTTCCTGCCGCTGGGGAAACATCCTGCAAAATCCCACCCACCCCCTTAGAAAAAGTAATTCGTCTCCCAGAGCGACCGCCTTCCCTTCCTGCCTACCATCTTTTCATGTTTTTTTCAACTTCCTACCAGTTTTCCGAGAAATGCCCCTGTTTCTCCAGTTCCCCCTCCCTCTCTTCCCAGAGAAAAACCGGCCGTCGAAGTGGGGGAAGAGGCGGTATACAGCGCACATGAAACGGGAAAGACCCAAAAAAAGTCAGCAAGCGAAAACGTTTTTCTTGGGGGCCAAAACGACTCCTTACTCCAGAGCCCAGATACGACCCCCTCCCTCGTCGCGGGTCCCCAAAATACGACGTTCCCTATCCTTCAGACCTATACACTGTGCATACTGCTAAAACAGTGCTTGACGGGCTATGTTTGATCCTAAAGGCACTAAGAATTGGACAGGTACGTAGAACCCCTGAGGGTCCAAGGTCTCGACAAAAGGTTTCTCCACGGAATGGGTGCATAGCGGGTGAAGCACCCGCTATGCACCCATTCCGTGGAGAAAACCGAATTTGAAGACTGAAAATTCGGTAATTCTCATTCATTTTCATTTTCGTTTCGTTTTTTATTTTTTCATTTTCGTAGATTCAGAAACGGAAATAAGGGGGAGGGGATTCTAAAAGGGGTCTATGGAATAAAATGCGCGTAAATTCTGTACGCGGTGTAAAGGGGCGTGGCAATCTGGGGCGGCGGGGGCTTCGCATGAGAATTACAGAGTAAAGGAGTAGTGCGGATGGTACCGAGCGCAGGGATGCAAAAATCGTAAAAACGGGTGGGTAAGGCGAAACAATTGGGTGGGTGGGGAAAAGATTCGGGTGGGTGGAGCGACGAGCGAAGATGGGAACTAATTCTTTGTAATCTGGTCCTGGTATTTTCAAAATTAAAAAATCGATCGAAAGGAAGAACTTTCTCGAAATAAACGTACGTATAGAAGTGCTGGATTTTCCCAGAGGTGTTTCCTAAAATCATAATGGATTTTAATGGTTATGTATAGCGTTTATTTTATAATAGTAAATAAAATTATTACTTATAGCAGATGTTGCTCTCACTGGAAGTCTTCGGAGTGCACATCATAAAGACAGATGTTCTCCCAAAATAATTTTTTGAATATAATTTTTAGGTGCTGTTATATTTTTAGGTGCTGTTTTATTTGGGAGGGGCTTTTGCATATTCGCTAATTCCTTTCGACAGTTGCTGTTGAATTACATGTCTTATCCTTGGCCGGACCTGTAGAAACTTGTCAAATGTAAACGAAGCTCATCGCATTGCATAGCTCCACTGGAAATCAGAGACCTCTACAGCAGCTACAGCAGGCATCGGAAGTGATCGGTGGGAACCAGAAAGATGCCCCTCCCAAACGGAACAGCGCCCAAATTCCTTATAGTTTTGATGTTTGATTTATTGGGTTGACGGGAAAG